AAAAAAAAAAAAAAGCTAAAAGTTTTACAGTTTGTCTCAAATGTCTCCAAGTATTTGTTTTCTGTTCAGATCACTGCACTGATTCAGTTCCCACTCTCTGTTGTTGGCTCTTACACAATGTCCCGCTGTGGTTTCGTTCTCCCCAGTGGTTTGAGCCTGCTCAGTTCGGGACGTGGTGGTCCGTTCTCTCCTGCAGCATGAACCTGGCTGGCAGCCTGGGCCCCATCATTGCCACGGTGCTGTCTCAGAGCTACAGCTGGAGGACGATCCTGTCCTTCTCCGGGATGATCTGTGTGGCCATGTCCTTCATCTGCCTGCTGGTGATCAAGAATGAACCAAAGGACGTGGGGCTGCCCAGTGTGGAAACTGCAACCAAGAAAAGCAAAGGAGGTGAGGGTGATGTCTGCCAGCATTTAAGTATTTATCAGGCTCGTTTCAACACACTGAAAACATAAAAATGTTCTTTAAAAAGTCTTCAGTTGATCCCAAATGCTGTTGCCAGTCTTAACTGGAGTTAGTGGGAGAGATCATATCTCTCCAGTTTTAGCTTCTCTCCACTGGCTCCCTGTCAAAGAATTGAATTCAAAATCTTACTTCTAACCAACAAAGCTCTCAACAACCTAGCTCCATCTTATATTCGAGATCTTATTGTTCCATATTTTCCCAACAGAGCACTTCTCTCTCAGACTGCAGGCTTACTTGCGATTCCTAGAGTTTACAAAAGCAGAATGGGAGGCAGATCTTTCAGTTATCAGGCTCCTCTCTTGTGGAACCAACTTCCAGTTTCTGTCCGTGAGGCTGACACATTGTCCAGTTTATAGACTGAACTTAAGACTTTTCTTTTTGATAAATACTATAGTTAGGGTTGGCTCGTTATGCTGCTATAGGCTTAGACTGCTGGAGGACAAATTGACCTAATTTCCTTGAATGAATTGTTAGAATTGTTTAGTTTCCATTTTATAGTATTTCTATCTTAACCTGTGATTCTTGACCTGCCATTGTGTAGCTGTTCCTACCAAACCCTGCCAGTCAAAGCAGATAGCTGCTTGTCCTGAGCCTGGTTCTGCTAAAAGTTTCTTCCTCATGAGGGAGTTTTTCCTTTCCACTGTCGCTTCATGCTTGCTCAAGATGAGAGTTCTGTGATGGAGTTAAATTCAAAGCAGTCTGCTCCTCAGATAAATAGTTAAATTATTATTTTATACATGAATGTTTCTGTTCAGTGCCCTGAGGTGACTTCTGTTGTGTTTTGGCACTTTATAAATAAACTAAATTGAAATTGAATTGTGTAAGATGTGCCTGTTGTTGTGTAGCATGTGCCGGGACTAAAGGTCAATAACTGAGTGGACTCTGCACCCTGCGCCCCTCACATGTTTAGAAGAGTCAGTTTGTGTTAAAGAGAGATTTCATATATTAAATTAAAATTTCACAGGATCTTTTATTATAAAGACACAGAAGTAGCGATCAACAAGTGTTTGCTTTTTGTTCAGGCACCGTCAGCAATGAAAGCACCCTGTCCGAGTTCCTGCTGTCGCCTTATTTGTGGCTGCTGTCTGTGTCCTACCTGGTGGTGTTCGGGGTGAAGACAGCCTGCACCGACTGGGGCCAGCTGTTTCTCATCCAAGACAAGGGCCAGTCCACACTGATGGGTACTGAAGAGAGCTAGAGTAAACACACACACCTCCAGCGTGTGCAGAGAGACTGAGCTCACGGTCTCCAGTGAACCACTGTTTTTCATCTTCATAGGTAGCTCCTATATGAGCGCCCTTGAGGTTGGAGGTCTGCTGGGAAGTCTGGCAGCAGGTTACCTCTCTGACAGAGCGGTGGCCAGAGTAAGTCTGCCTTTTTGCTTTTATTGCATTTTATTTTCATCGAATGATAATTCCTTCATACCAGTTAAAAGTGTATATTTCTGCATAAAGATGACAAAAATAATCAGGTTTCCAGAGCCATCCATCAGTTCTCTTTTACCTGCTTCTTCCTTTCTTTTTTTTTTTTTTTTTGGGGGGGGGGGGGGGGGGCACGGGGGTCACTGGTGCCCATGTCCAGCAGTCACTGTGAGAGAGGCAGGGGACACCATGGACAGGTCTCCAGTCCATCACAGGGACGAGACAACCATTCAGTCTCTCACTCACACCTAGAGACAATTTAGAGTTACCAATCAGCCTAACATGCATGCTTGTGGTCTGTGGGAGGAAACCGGAGTACCTGGACAAAACCCACGCATGCATGGAGAGAACATGCAAACTCCACCCAGAAAGGCCCCCGGTTGGGACTCCATCTGGCAACCTTCTTGCTGAGAGGCAACTGCTCTATCATGTTGGATAAAAAATATCCTTTATTCATCTTAATTAGTAAAAGAAGCCACGCAACAGCAGATTATTTAACAGTTTTACTTGCAAGGTTAGACGTCCCAACAGGTTTACATAGAGGTACAAAGTTATACTGGAGCCCAGTCATGAGAATCTGCCCCGGGCAGTGTGCGAGAAATGTTTTATACATTAGTCCTTCGATTATCGCGGGGGTTACGTTCCAGACACCACCGTGATAGGTGGAAAAAATGCAAAGTAGGAATGCTATGTTTATTTTAATATACATTTTAAGGCTTTATGAACCATTTCCACACTCTTGCAATTAGTGGTGGTCGGATCTATCCAAAATATTGATAATATCGATACCACCATGGGTATTGATATTGATCAATACCAGTGTAATGAGATTGATACTTTAGATTCAGTTTCTCTCCTTTCATCAAAGATGGAGCCGAGTGTAAGTGCCGCTCCTGTCACAGCGCAGAGCAACTTTTCAAAGGCAGGCAGGGCCCACAGAGAGGCTGCTGGGAATATTTCTTTGAACCCAAGGCTTTGGAGGTTGTTTTGTTATTTACACTTTATTTATTGTATTTTCACCAATTATTTTTGATCTGTAATTATTTTTTTCAAACCCAAAAAAGAAATTCAGTTAAGAGGAGAAATTTTGTTTTATTCCTTTATATCCTAAATATATTTTATCGTTTTATAACATTTGTTGGGGTGTGATAACTTTGTACCGTTTATTTAAGAAAAAATAAAATCCTGGAAAGAAGTGCAATGAAGGGATAATTTTTATTTAATTATCATAGTTTCTGAACAAAATGTTTTAATTTATTCTTGAGTGATCGTTTTGTGCACTTTAAGGAAAAAATCCAGCCATCACAAGGTGGAGAAAATTGTTTTCTCTGCTATTTTTTCAGAAAATAAAAAACAAAAAAAACTTTTATTATGATGAAGTATTTTTATTTACTTAAAAACATTTCCTAATTCTATCCTGGGTTTTATCTAATAAAAGATCTGAAGGAAAACTCTCAAAGCACTTAAACATCATCAAAATTCACCCTAATTATTTAAAAGTCTCATATCGGTATCAGTATCGGTGATACTGGACCTGTATTTACTTGGTATTGATCGATACCAAAATTTGCAGTATCGCACACCACTATTGTCAATCTTCTAAAATCTTAAACCTATGTAATTTTAACAACATACATGTATGTAACGTGCAGTACTGCAAAATTTTACTCACCTGCTCTGCAGACCAGCAGGTCTGTTCTGGTCAGGCTCGGTTCTGGTTCTGCAGACCTACCCTGCAGCATGAAGCCCACCTCCCAATCCAGACTGATGTGCTGGTGGATAATTGAGCTTCAGAAATATTTGCAACTTTCCTGCCAGTTCTGTGAGCTTAAATCATTACTTCTGAATTTATGTTTCAAAACTTTACCTTGATTTCAGTGGAGAGCAGCGTCCGGAAGCACTGTTGGCTTCTGGGTAGTGTAGTAGTCCTTTTGACTGGCGTTAAAGTGTAGCCTTATTGAAAGAAAACTACAAAAGGGTGGCGCCTGTCCAAAGAATTTTTTTCTTCTTCGCATTAACTTTTTATCTCGTACCGTCCCAATCACGTAATATTAAAGTTGACAACTGTGTGTCGTGTACAATCTTGCATTGAAAAACCGCGAAAGAGCGAGTCCGCAAAAGTCGACCCGCGACGTAGCGAGGGACTGCTGTATATGCTTATCACCTCGGCTGCAGGCTCCTCTCCGAGAGGAAAAGAACTCTCTGAACTCACACACACGCACGGTTCAACATTAGTTCAACATTAGTTCAACATTAGTTAGTGCTAACATCCTTCACCACACTTCCCCTGACAGCAAACTGATACAAATCTATTTAAAATGACCAAATATGATCCAGCTCTGCCCTTCTGAGGAGTTAAACTGAAAAGGTTTCCAACATGCAGCAGTTTCACGTCTCACACACACACAGTGGGTGTTTTACATGATTCTTTTTAAAGCCAGTACACTCATCATCTCATGTCGTCCATGTTTTGTGTAGCAAGGAATGAGACTCTACGGGAACCCCCGTCACTCCATCCTGATCTGCATGATGGCTGGGATGTTTGTGTCCATGTACCTGTTCAGAGTCACCGTCAGCGCAGACAGCTCCAAGGTAAAGCTTTCTGTGGTTGCAATGGTTTACAGTCCAGTTGGTCCAGAATGAAGATCCCTTTGTCGTTTCTACGTTCAGGTGTGGATCCTCAGCTTGGGTGCTGCATTTGGTTTTAGCTCCTACGGTCCAATAGCATTGTTTGGAGTTATAGCCAACGAAAGCGCTCCCTCCAACTACTGCGGGACATCGCATGCCATTGTTGCCCTGATGGCGAATAGTAAGTTTAGTGAGGTTAATTCAGTTTAGTATCACGTTCAAGATGGGACACAGGTTTTTGATTTTGCCCTTTCTTTGTCTTTAAGTTGGTGGCTTCCTCTCGGGATTACCATTCAGCACAATTGCCAAGCACCACAGCTGGGAAATGGCCTTCTGGGTGGCAGAGATGGTCTGCTTGGTCACTGCTGTTGGATACTTCCTGCTACGCAACATCCGGACCAAGATGGGACACCTGCCTACGAAGACAGACTAGCACGATGACTCCTCAAGGCTCTGTGTCCACAGACATCAGTATTATTTTACAGCATTTCTGCTGTCAGGCCTGCAGAACATTAACACAAAGCTCAAGTTGAGTCTACTCACCGTCCCATGCTCCCAACTACAACTTTTTATTTTATTTTATTTAGTTTAACACATTAGTTGCTCAGTTAGAATGGCTCATTTTCTAATCTGAGAGACAAACAAAGTTTTCTCTACAAAAGCCTCAGCATGGCAGGCTACTGGTGCTTGGTTTGGAAATAAATTGATTTTTTTGTTTGTTTCAAATTGCTGTAATGAGCAATTTTAAATTGAAGTGCAATACTTTACGATATTTTTTAATTAAAACATGGAATTTGTTATATGACAAAGTCAAGGGCTTTAATCTGAGTTTTTCTTATTTTGATGGTTTTCATTTTCTTGTTATGCACGTTGCCAAAAACAACTGCAACACAGAACATTGACATACAATTCTGGATTTATTCTGTTGAGTATTTACAATACATGACGTATTTACAAGGCATTTATTAGCAAAAAAAACACCACAACCCCCCACTTTAATCTTTCCTGTAAGTTTTGGTGTACACACACTTCTCTAGTTTTAGGACCCAGCTCCAAAGTTGCCAGCTTTCTCTGCGACCTCCAGTGCGCTCTTCAGGTTATTGTCGAACAGTTCACACCTGAAGGGAAGGTGCAACTTTAAGCCAGCGTGTGCATTTCAGAACCGTATCAAACACCAAGGCTGTATTCAAATTTGAAATTGCTTAACGAAAAGGCAGCAGGATTACCTGATGGGCATTTCCAGAGAGTAGAACGGGTTCTTGAGAGCGAAGTCGGAGTAGATCTCATAAATCTTCTTCAACAGGACGTCAATACCGGACTGCCGAGGGTCAGCCAGGACGATGAACTTTATTCCTGAAAGAGCACAGATGGAGCGGCAAAGACAAATCAGACATTTTCTATTTCAACAAGAAGCAGTAATGGATGTTTTATAAAAGAACATGAAACAAGTGGTTATTATATCTATCAAGCACAACTTTAAAACCACTCTTGGGAAACTAATACCGTATTTTATGCCCTATACGTTGCATCAGTCCAAATATGTCTAATAATCTGGAAAAAAAAACATAAATACATCACTTCGCCGAATACGTCGCATGCGTCATTGCTGACAACCCGGAAATGTGGGCCGGTGTTGTGCCAAAAATCGATTGGCTGCCAAATGGCGGCCGCGGGAGCGTGCACAGGAGGACTTTAACAAGAATTTAACAAGATTAACACTTAAAAACAATTATTTGTTTGCTCAAAATTATAGTAACGGTGTGTCTCAGTCAAACTTTGACTTAATAAATGCACTTTGACAGTCAAATCAGCTGCATTTCAAAAGCCGATTCACGGAAGCAGGAGCGCGCAGAGGGACGACTCGCTGTGCATTTCTTCAAAATTGAACAAGATAAGCACCTAAAACAATTATCTGTTTGCTCAACATTAAAGCAAAGGTGTGTCTCAGTTGAATTTTTACTTAATAAATCCAATTTAATGGTCAAATCAGCTGCATTTCGCCGGAGCGGCGCAGCAAAATGAAGCTGATTTTACGGCTGCGCCAGGCATGATCCCCGAGCTGGACGAAGGTGGCAGGCTATGGCAAGCCGATTGTGTCATTAAAAACCACTTTTACCTATTACATGACACACCGGCATGCTACACTACTCGAATGCCATCTAGCGGCTGAACATTGTAGTGTTCGATATTTTCAATGTCAGAATGAATGAAAACGGTCACATCTCAGCCAAAAATTGGTTTATAAATATGGGGGAAATCCATATATGAGTCACAGGGCATGTAAATTATACAAAAAACTGCGACTTATAGGCTGGAAAATACAGTAATCATTTTGTTGAGCTGAAACAGGCAGACATCTACCGCTGAAGCCAAAGTTTGCACACACGTGGATGACCCATTTCTTCTGACTGACAGCAGGTTTTATGAAACATACTTTAAAGAATTTTTAAATACAAGAAGTGGCTGCACAACCTTTTGTAGACAAAATTATACAGACAAGCTCTAATATATACATACACCCTAGAAGCTTCTTGGCTAATTTCACCTTGACTACACTGTTTCTGTATCATATCAAGTTTGAGTGTTTCTGACAACTCTTCTTGGCAGAATTCAAGCTCCTTTAAACTGGTTGGATTCTTGACATAAACCTGGCTTTTATCCATAGTCTGCTAAAGTTCAATCTGGTTGAGGTTGGAGCGTTGGCAAGCCCATTCCAGAAAATCAGCTGCTTTATCCAATCAGAAAACGTTTTTGATGTGTTTGGAGTGATTCTCACATTTTGAAGTCAGTTGTGTCCAAGTTTTAAATGCATAGCTCTTATAATAATAATAATAATAATAATGTCATCACAATGTCAGCACTGTATGTTTCCATACAATGGCGAAATTAGTCTCTGCATTTAACCCATCCACCACCAGGTGGTGCAGTGGGCAGCTATTGAAAGCGCCCGGGGGACATTTTGGGGATGAGACGTGCTGCCCAGAGACGCCACGTGATGTGCAGTGACTGGGGATCGAACCTGGGACTTTCGGGTCCCAAGCCGGCTGCCCTGCCTCTACACCATCTCGGCCCCCTTATGATGGGAAGTTTATAAATTTGGTGTAACCATTGTTCCGTCCACTTTCTGCAATGCACCAGTGCCACAGCATGAGTCTACTGTTCAGAGTATCGGTCAGTCCAACGAGTGCTTTCAAACATCCTTTTTACGCTGACAAAAAGAAATCACCAAAGTAAATGGACTGTACTTGTAGAACACCTTTCTATCTTATCAAACACTCAAAGCTCTTAACATCACAATCTGTGTCCTCATTTACCCATTCATACAGCACTCTACTATATACAAAGAATAATCAGAGCTTTATCACATTCATACATAGATGGGACACATATCGGAGGCAATGAAGGGTTCAGTGTCTTGCCCGGGGCACTTCAGCATGTGACTGCTGGTTGAATCAAACCCCCAGCTCTTGCATTGGAGGACGACTGCTCCAACCACTCAGCCACAGATGCCCAAGTACATACCAGTATATGTTTGAGCTTGTACATATAATTTTACCTGTGTGAACTGGAGTAAACCTACAACGAATTAAAACGTGTACGCTCAATTCGTTTGTAAAAAGGCTGAAGTTGCATGTTGCATAGATTTATTCCAACATGGAAATATGAACAAATCAATAAAAGCCAGAAGGTCAAAAGTTCATCGTGCCCCGTGACGAGTGGATGTAAACATTTGACTGCAGCTGTTTATGCACGTCTTCTTGACACACACCACCCAGAGAATCACTGGTTCAGTCTCATACCATGGCCTATCTCCCTAACCACATCAAATATCCATCATGTAACAATACTATGAAGATACTTTTATTTTGAAAGAGCTTTGACTGTTGCAGCTAATCACAGTCTGAGCTGCATATCTACTGGTTTCTACATAATACAACGCATTACCTTCTAAAACATGATAGCATTATTAGGGTTTAGACCAGGGTTATTCAACTAAATTGCTCAGGGGCCAGACACCCAGCAGTTACAGTCATTCTGTAAATAAACCAAGTTTTACAATGATATGTTAGCTTTAAATGGGCCGGACTGAAGTCACCCGCAGGCCTCTTCCAGCCCACGGACCTCCAGTTGAATAGCCCTGATTTAGATATTCTCCCCAACTATCCAAACACAGCTTTGCTATTTTGCATTATGCTTATAATACTGTGAAAAACATTAAAGCAGCCATTTGTTCATATTTTACTTTCAAAAAGCCATATTTTATTATTTAAACAAAACTAGAAATTACAATAAAATAAACTACTGGGCTGGGTCGGTGTCAGGCTTTTAACTGGGTCAGCATCAGCTGCAATCCAGTCATATGGTAACTAGGTCTGTCGCGATAAATCAATTGAACATACGATAAATGAAAATTATCGACCTCATTTTCATTTATCGGCTTCATCGTTTCTTCGTGTCTCTCTCTTTCTACTGAAGACACTGGATGACAAAAGACTCAACTCCGGTGCTCTTCACTGACCCCTCCCTTTCTCTTTAAAATTGGTTTTAACCGTCCAAAATTGCATTTTTAGATCGTTAAAAGCAGCTAAGCTGAGAAGCTAAGCTACGAGCTAAGCTAACAGGCTGACCTCGGGAATAAACTTCCATCTTGTTGAAGCTCCAAAATTCACAGTTGAAACATTCTGATGCATGCTCAATAATCCAGGTAGAAAAATCTAAAAAAGTTAAGTCAGGTCCTCTGGACGTTCAAAAGACAAACAAACAATATGTAGAAACGTTTCATTTTTCATCCGAAAGACTTCTTCACTTGAAACACGTGCCTTCGTGTAAAAAGTTGTTTTTCTCTGCAAAAAGAAGCTGAGAACTTGTTTACTGACTTTTTTTTTTTAATTAAAAGCTTTGTGTGAAAAATGCTATGCTAAAGAGCTCAAACCACTGAGCATCCGCCATGTCACCATGTCAGCCCATTCCACATCAAGGGTCCTCTCTCCCATTTTTCTTAAAGAGACACGCTGCTCAACTATCCATCATTTGGTTCAAACAGTATTATACTGCCATCAGGTGGTCAAAAAAGGTACTACACTCCAAACAAATCAATATTTCTTCTAAAATTTGACAAATAATTATTGTTAAATTTCAAACAATATTATTGTTTATCGCAATAATGTCTGAGACAATCGTCCAGCAAAATTTGTTATTGTGACAAGCCTAATGGTAACATACCTTGCCATACAATCACCAGCCGCATGCGGCCATTTCCCCGAGCTGACCGGCCTTGGAAGAGGTAAAGAGTTCACTTAAGCTTCGGATGGGACTACACTGCCAGGAAGCGACCCATTGCCCAAATGGACGTTCATTCAGCCGCTGCACTCAGTGGACGAGCACGGCCGATGACCCAAACAGGTGAGATCACAAATCAGATGTGTCAGAGCAGGGTCTGTGTCTGAATAAATCAGAATGCAGGCAGAAGCAGGGATTAAATGCTCTTTTACAAACCATGAAAGGACAAACACCAGCTCAGCGCTGATCTTGTACACCTTTTATTCAGCCATGAGCCGTGCGTCCCCGACCATTAATAACTAATTAAAAATGTCGGGTTTTTTCCCAGGGGCAGCACGGTGGCGCAACTGGTAGAGCTGCTGCCTCTCAGCGAGCAGGTCCTTGGTTCAAACCCCGGTCCAGGGGCCTTTCTGGGTGGAGTTTGCATGTTCTCTCGTGCATGCATGGGTTTTCTCCGGGTACTCCGGTTTCCTCCCACAGTCCAAAAACGTGCATGTTAGGCTGATTGGTAACTCTAAATTGTCCCTAGGTGTGAGTGAGAGAGTGAATGTTTGTTTGTCTCGTTTGTCTCTATGTGTCCCTGTGATGGACTTGTGACCCCGCCCCTTGCACAGTGATTGCTGGACATGGGCACCAGCTACCCCCGTGACCCAAAATGGAATAAGCGGGTAAAGATAATGGATGGATGGGTTTTTTCCGGGTTCGGACCTGTAATTACCGTTAATTCGTCGAGTCAGGTGGGGTTCAGAAATTATGACTGCGGGCTGGGGCCGGAATTTTTGGGCACGAATGCAACTCTAGCCTGTGCCCAACGGACAAATCAGCCAAGAATCTCAATCTATATAAATTGCACATGTTTTTTTTATTATTGTTTCTGTTTGTAAGTTAAATCCACAAGACATGCAGACAACGCAATCTGGCAATACTGAAACTTGTACAAAACAGCCAGTCTTGATCATGAAAGTCATGTTTAAAAATGTTTTTAAAAACTTACAAAGACCTGAGATGTGGCACGAACCTTGGGTTAATCTGACAACTGTGCACCTGAGTTAGATCAGACAACGAGGGGTAGCTGGTTATTCTGAAAATCTAAATTATAAAACAATTTACATGGAAAAAAGGGCAAGGACAAATTACACAAGCTGTTAAAAGTGGCAGTTCATTAGACAGTTTAATGTCAAAACCGTCACAACATGTATAATAATGATTGAGACAGATGTGCAAAGTGTCTACAGCATTTTGTAACACACGGTGGAGGCTCTGTCATGGTGTGGGTCATTTTAAAGAAAAAAAAGTTAAAAACATGCTTATTCAGGTTCAGGCAAATTCTGTTTTGAGTTATACAATGTATTGAGTTTGCACACGCTTTGAACGGCACTGCAGTTACTGTCCATTTTGTAACAGGATACATGAAACGGGATGTTTACAAGGACACATTGTTGCCCACCATACATTACACTGACCTGTGAGGGTCTGAAAGCAGTGAAGTTTAAAGACGTCCGTTTCCAACATCTCGATCCCTGAACTGCCAACTTCAGGAGACAGCTGTGAACCGATGGCAAATAACCTGAAGACAAAACCACCAGAGACAGTGTCTAATGAAGCGCACCTTCAAACTGGACTTAGGACAACATGTTACATCTTATCAACATTGATATCAGAACACTGCTGATGTCCTTGGCACTGTGTGGACATACACCGGAAAGGCCCAGACCTGAAAAACGTCTGATTTCAGAGAGGTTCTCACACCTCCTGGTCCTCACTCAGTCAGTACGACTGATGAGCAGCTCCTGGCTGCCACTTGCATCTTATGGAGGCAGAACGAGTGAAATGTTTTGTCTTAATCTGTTGAATAAGTCGTGGGAATTACAGTTCTTTTCTGGGATCGGGGGTCACACGGCTCAGTTCCTTTATGGTTATCTGAGCCAAAGGACCTGAAGCTCAGAAAAAAATTGTAATTTCCATCACGGAGTTCAACGTCTACACTTTGTATGTTGAATAAACAGTGACGTGGTGCAATGTGATGTTTACTGATGTTCATAAGTGTTTGTATTTAAGTCTTGGGAACTGACTTAAAATGAACCTGACATGTAAAACCTTAGAATTGAAGGTGGATCTATTTTACGTTGTCAACACACTTGAAGCTGAGCAGAGCCTGAACCCCACCACACCACCCTTCGATCCCACAGCGCCTTACGAGTGGAACATGGATGCAAGCATCAGCTTCTCGTTGGAGCTAAGGCGAGCCCGTCCGAACCGGATTGAAACTGGATAATTAGCTGGGTCTTTTAAATATTCAAGGATGTCCTTCCCTTCTGCTGTGCTCTTTCCAACCACATCAGCTCCATTGATGGACAGCACAGCGTGTCCCACTGGAAAAGAAAAAGACTTTAGTTACAACAGGAACAGTTTTTTACGTATGCAGTTTTCAAACCTTGGCGAATGAAGTGCAGAATAAAATTAAATAAAGACAACCACGCTGAAGAAGATGTCGTTTTGCTGAGTCCACAGTAAAACATGAAATAAAGCACCTGTAATATGAACCTGCCCTGTAGTGTCTGTAGTAAAACATTACCTTTAATTCCGTCCCGTTGTCCAAATGACACGACGACTTTTTCATCGTGATGTTTCAGAACCAGGTCCAGAGGGTGGCTGAAGGTCTTTTCGACTTCAGTTCTCGGGACGTAATTGTCATACTGGTAAATTAAACCTCCAGCTTTATTCACAACATAAACACTGAAAATCGCCATCTTTGGAACAGCCTTTCCTCCCGGCTGACTTCACCGTCACGTGACCTGAATCTGTAAAAGTTGCGACCCAATTTAAAATTTATTTTTTTTAACCGTGTTTTTTTTTCTTTCCCTAATTAATGTCTGTGCCATTTTTTCCCCTCAAATAATCGTATCTCTGTTGTACTTGTTATTTTTGAAAAATGGGGAGGGAAAAAAACTCCAGTTCCCACAATCCCTCATGTCATTTCCGCATCCAAGGGTTGTCTCAGGGACTTTTGCACGGGCGGACTTCCTTTCGCTCCGACATCTTGACAAGGAAACATGGTGAGCGCAGTGATTATACGTTTTTTGAGGATAAAGTAAACTTCAGTGAAGTTCTGTTGTTCTTATATGGTACAGTAATAATTCGGAAGGTCTATCGGTAGCAGTGTATGGTTCCTTCTCCGATAAGAAAGTCTTACGAGCGCAATTTTATCACTTCGTTAGCGCCTGACTCGCTAATGGCTAGTCGGCTACATCTGCCATGCTCTCAGATACTCTCCGTGTCCATTTTCTGAATTGCATCAAATGGCTGGATTAGTACAAGCTATGGATAATGATTGGTAAAACCGGCGGTGAAGAATTACTCTGAGCCGTGTGTTTTACACTTGGGCCTGTGAATTTGTCCGCCTCTAAATACCGTCATTATGATGCTGCAGCTACAGAAACCTTCAGTATTGCTCAGAAACGTGGAATAAAACATGGCACTGCATCACAACAGGTTTCTCATGAAGTGAGGATGAATGCCATTATTATTGAAATCTAATGAACACAATCAACACGTTTACTTCAACTGCAGCCAACACTGTGCCACATGTTCACCACAAGCCTCAGTAATAAATTAGGATGTATAAATAATTATATATAAGCCTCCATGTATAATGACAGGGGAAACATTGACTAATATAAATGGAAAAAATATACTTAAATGTAAGGTAGTGACTTATATGTTTAGGGCAGCAGAAAAGTCTTTGCTGGCCGCCTTGATGGTCATTGTCTGCTCTGAACACAAAAGTTGTTGCACAGAATTTTGTGACCCATCCCATTTTCTACCATCATACAGGTTTTACTTACTACAGTAACTAATTTAGGGAATAAATTCTTGTCGAAAATTTGACTGAAGTGAGAATTTGTGTATGTTTATATGCAGTGATGAAATTTGTGCGCTGCATTGAAATGTTAGAGGAAAACGCTCTTGATGTTTACTCAAGTGAACCACACTCACACACGGCACATGGTTTATCTCAGGCACAATTTTACTTGCAAGTGCAGATATTGGATCGGTTCACATCAATATGTATTAAACGTATACACATGAAGCCCGGTCACAACGATCTGCAACATGCTGCACTGTCCGCTCGCTTTTTGTCTCCTTACCAGCTTGACAAGGTTTCAGTGGGCGTCCTCAAAGCCAGCTGTAGTCTCACATGGCACTCCTGGCCTTCACAGGTCTTTTCCACTGACATCTCTTCAGGAGAAGGGGGTGGGAAGTCTTAAGATTATCATTGTATGTTCCCATACAATGATAAAATTAGTTCTCTGCATTGAACCCATCACACCTGAGATACACCCAGGTGGAGCAGTGGGCAGCTATGCAAGTGCCTGGGAAGCAATTGGGTATTAGGTGTCTTGCTCAGAAACACCACAACGTGAGAATGGCTGGGAGTCGAACCGTGACTTTCTGGTCCCAAGTCGGCTGCCCTACCACTGCACCACAGCCACTGCTGATGTAATGCTCGCACAAGCTACAAATATATATTTACACTAGCAATTTTACATCTTCCAACAAGTTACACTTTTAGTTCACAATTAGGTATAAATTCTACGTAGGGCTTTAATTTGTAATCTTTTGTTCTCAGCCTCCTAAGCCGGATAAGAAAAAGGACGCTGGGAAGTCCAAGAAGGACAAGGACCCAGTCAACAAGTCTGGAGGCAAGGCTAAGAAGAAGGTAAGCCGAGGTCAAAATTCACTTAGACCTGAGTTGATGGTTGAATGTCTCAAACATGTTGTCTTGATCTGAGCAGAAGTGGTCCAAGGGAAAAGTGAGGGACAAGCTCAATAACTTGGTCCTCTTCGACAAGGCAACCTACGAAAAGTTGTACAAAGAAGTGCCCAACTACAAGCTCATCACCCCTGCTGTTGTGTCAGAAAGGCTGAAGATCCGTGGCTCTCTAGCCAGGAACGCCCTCCAAGAACTGCTTGCTAAAGGTGACCTTTGTCTTTTCAGTTTAAAGCCTTAAAATGTTTTATGTTAGGACAAAGCAACATCCAAATAAGATGTTTCAAGGGAGACCATTTGATTAGATTTTGATCCAGCAAGTTTTTATTTTTGCAGAGCAGGAACGAGCATTGATATTTACAGTAGATATGAACACACACCATTGCAAGGAACTATGGAGGAGAGATCTGGATCCATTTTCACAACATGTCATAAATCATCTGCCAGACAAAAACATTGGGATGCAGCATTATTGGAGTACCCCAAAGATGTCATCACTTCTTGTTGGTTGTGTCTTTTGTATAAATGTTTCAGTTTCTTGCTTCTAGTAAGGCGCATCATTGAAAACGTGGAGATAATTGTGAAATAAAACACTAAAAAAAAAAACTTGGTGGAAACCGCTCAACGGCATATTTTCCTAATTTGAGCACGTTTCCAAATTTGATGATCAAAATTAGCAAAACTGTTTTGGCTGTTGTAGCCTCCTACAGATGGCTGCAGTCCTGAAGATGGCTGTAATGAAAGGAGTGGCGGGGCCACGCAACAAACTCGAGCATAAGGTGCCGAGGCAAAAGTTTGCGATGGCGTCCAGAAAGTACAAAATGTAGCACTTTGAATAAAGTTTATATCAAAACTAAACGTGAACAGGTTTTTAGTTTATGTCTGCACATAAACTGAAACGGCAAAAAAATGTGACCATCAAACGACTGGATTGAAATAAGTGAGCTAATGTTAGCTTAGCACTTTAGCAAACTCATCTGTATAAAATTACATAGACAGATGTGAGACAGATGTGAGTTGGTTAAAAACTTGGTAGCTGTCTGTGATAAATTTAATCTAATCAACGTTGATACAGATTTGTTTTATGCTTTAAGCAAGTTTTTTTAAGCATCCATCTATTCATTAACTTTACTCGCTTCTTCCTTTTCGGGTCGCAGAAGTCACTGGTGCCCGTGTCCAGCAGTCACTGTGAGATGCGGAGACGCTGGACTGGTCTCCAGTCCATCACAGGGACACAGAGAGACAAATGGGACAAACAACCACAGCAATTTGGAGTTACTAATCAGTCTAACGTATGTTTTTGGTCTGTGGGAGGAAACCAGAGAAAACCCATGCATGCGTGGAGAGAACATGCAAACTCCATCCAGAAAGGTTCCCCGGCAGAGATTTGATCCGGCCACCTTCTGGCTAAGGCAGCAGCTCTACCAACTGCACCACTGTGCCACTTGTGCATTTATACATTACTTAAAAATCCAAATAAAAAAATGTGAGCGAGTAGCACAGTGGCAAATGCTGCTTCAAAATGTGTGTTATAGACAGATTACAGGATAATTTTTTATTTTGTCTGCAAACTGGCCAACTGAATGTAAAAGGTTTGTGTCTGTGTGAATCATGTCCTCTGCTTTACGCTGTGGATCTATATGGCCACAAAGACGAGCCCGCTTAAAGCTGTCTAGTCATGTCAGCCAGTTAAATGTGGTCTTTACACCCATGAAGCTGATCCAGACGGGTCACATCAATGATATTAAGACATGAGATGCTGACTGGACTGTCCCCCACTTCACTCATACTGGCCTTGTTTACAAATCTGAGTTGTACACCTCCTGTGGTTCTGTGCTGATTGCTTCATTTACATAATCTTATTGTTTAGGGATGTGACCAGAATGGTCGGTGCAGTGACGATCAGCTAGAAGCAGCTTAACGAGGACCTTGATTTTTTGCAGCCATTTTTGTGTAAAGGCCTAATAATGTGGCTCAGACTGTCCATTGCTGGCTCAAAACTATAACAGCAACAGGTCAACTTCAGTTCCCCATTTCACTTTCATCAAGAAGAAAAGGAGACTTCAAAGATTTCACAGAAGTTTGGGTCTGCATGGTTTGCTTTATCTGAGAGTGATTGCAGCAAACACTAGCATGATTTTATTTAAACCTGACATTATTTTAAAGTTGGCCTTCACACAGATTTTAAATGCAATAGTTTTATCAGCTATAATGCCAAACAAGTAAAATGACCTGTTTGTAAAAAAATAAATAACAGTAGCAACAAAAATGTGTCTGCATGAGGAAATACTGAAATCAACTTGTTTTGTGTACCAGGCATGATCAAACTGGTGTCCAAACACAGAGCGCAGCTGATTTACACACGTAACACCAAGGGTGGAGACGAGGAGGCAGCAGCAGAGAAAGCTTGATCAGGTACAACAGTCTGCACCTCATTTGAACATGTAATGCTTTTAAATGTGCACTTTAACCACTAATATATAATTGTTTTTCTTTCCAGGTCTCCTGTTTCCTGTGATCTGTTTGTAATGACGGTGTAATAAAAAATGTAAAGACAACCCGAGCATTGTGGGGGTTTTTGTTGCTGTTCACAAATCTCATCAGTAGATGGCAGTAATATCAAGTTAAAGATGAATCAACAAATGCAAGTCTATCACAAATTTTACTGACTGTGTCAGTAATCTGGTGTTTAAACATGCGTAGATTTTTATTTGCCCGTCAGAAGATGGATAAACAGTGGTGCTTGAAAGTTTGTAAACTCTTTATAATTTTCTATGTTTCTGCATAAATGTGACCTAAAACATCAGATTTTCACACAAGTCCTAAAAGTAGACAAAGAGAACCCAGTTAAACAAATGAGACAAAATGTTATACTTAATCATTAGAGGAAAATGATCCAATATTACATATTTGAATGTAAAAGTATGTGAACCTAGGATTAGCAGTTAATCTGAAGGTGAAATTAGAGTCTGGTGTTTTAAATCAATGGTCTGAAAATGTTACAAAACATCTGTAAAAAGTTTGGACTCCACCAGTCCACAGTCAGACAGATTGTAGACAAATGGAGGAAATTCAAGACCATGGTGACCCTCCCCAGGAGTGGTGGACCAACAAAGATCACTTCAAGAACAAGGTGTGGAATAGTGAGGTCTCAAAGAACCTCAGGGTAACTTCTAACAACTGAAGGTCTCACATTGACTGATGTTTATGTTCATGAGTCCACCATCAGGAGAACTGAACAACAATGGTGGTCATGGCAGGGTTGAAGGAGAAAGACTGTTCTCCAAAAAGAACATGGCTGCTCATCTTCAGTTAGATAAAGATCACGTGGACAAACCAGAAGTCCGCTTCCTCTCAGCCACCCTGCTGGGTGTAGTTGGACAGTGGAAAAAAATTAATATGTGATGCATCCATTAGTGGATTTGAGCTTGAAGTGTAATATTTGGTCTGACTGACCCTGCGTGTTTAATTATAAAGTGTGTGCTTGCATTTAATAGTCATTCTGTAAAACGGTGCCGTCAGGACAGCTGCACATCAGGGACAGAACATTTGCATGAAAGAGCTGGTTCATGTTCCTTTGCTGCAGCGTGCAATTTAAAATCTGAACTGGTTTTTGCAGCTTTTTATTTTCAAAAACATCTTAAATAAATGTCCAAATTATGTATAGAGTACATTCCCCTTTATTGGAATATAAAAACCCAATAACAGTACTGTTTTATAATCAACTGATTATGTAATAAAATGAATAGATTTAACCACCGACTCTTGATTTAATGAAAATGTACAAAAGAGTAAAAAAAAATAAAAAAAATTCACACAAGACTTCTAAATGTAATTCGCTTGGACATTTTTTACATTACCAAAATATAAAATGCAAAAGACCTTATATAAACTACTATCAAAAGTGCATAAGTACTCATTTACATGTATTTTTTACATTGGCATACTTTGCACCTCTATATGAACAAATGGAACATTCTTTTAATTTTATTTTCTACTTTTTTTTTTATCTTTGTTCTAATTAAATCAGTTGAAATGTGTCATTAAAGGTCAACTCTGAAAAAAGTCAAAAGTTTCTTTATTGTCATTCTCATCGTGTGGTGGAACAAAACTGTGTACACAGGATCCCAGTTACATCCAACAAAAGTATAACTTGTAAAGAAAAACAGTAATAAGATCTTATGAACTCAGAATACACTAATCGCACAAAAACAATACGCTGAACAACAGCAGCACGAACATGAGTCTGTGTGAGCAGATGAGCATGAACGAACACGTCAGCTTGAAATAAATCAAACTTCATTAACAAATTATGGCATTTTCTAAACAATTACACTATATTCTTATTAACTAATGAAATAAAGCTCACGGGTTATTTTTCCCTCAAGCAGATGTTTTAGAACAATCGCCTCTGTAGAGGAGATTGCTCGGTCACAGCTGAGATCCCCCTCAGATGGCAGGATCCCCCCAGGGATCTGTTTCAGCACCATATGCTCTCTTAGCCGTTGACTCTGATCCACCAACTGTTGCTCTGCGCTGACCTTCAGCCTCAGAGCTGATACTGCAGCAGCTCATGTGTTTGGTCTTCCCTGTCTTGGATGTGGTCTTCCTTTAGCTGCAGCTGAAGGTGCTGGCTGGTCTGCACCGGCAGCAGATCTCAGTGATGTGAAGGGTCTGAACAGCAGAGCGCTGCCTCCTGATCCAGAGGCTGCAGGTTCAAGCCCAGGTTGCTCAATCTTTCATGTGACTGTGCTCACACTGCTGACTCCTGAAGAACAGTAAGTGTAGCTGGTTCATCTCATTTTAGTTCCATATTTGATTAAAGTAAGTGGGACTAAGTGAACCTGACATCAGGGCACACTTGAATTTTCTCAAAAATTCACAACTCAAGGGAGAGAAGTTCTCCGAAATATTAATAATACCAGGATATGGAGGTAAGACCCAATGAGAACCAGACTCAACTGGTTTACAGTGATTTATTTATTTACACTGAATATTATTAACAGTGCTATTTACGAGGGGAACCTGGAACACCTGAGGAGGGAGGAAGATAAGGTGAGTCCAGGGAAATAAGCCGTGTAGATTGTGTTTCAGGTTGGAGAACTCTTACTGGAACGGGGAGACCTCGGCACGTTGAGAAGAGAGTAATGGTTTCCAGGCAGAGGTAAATTATTGGGCTGGTGGTGAAAAGGCAGCTGAGCAGTTGAAGGTATGGTTCCTTTGCAGGTATGAGGAGGAAGATGAAAGATCCAGGGTAAAATCTTGGAAGTCAGGCACTAGGAGCATGAGTTATTTAAAAAAGTTTAATCTGGTCCTCTGGACATTCACAAAACAACAAAAAATGTAGAAACGTTTCGTCTTTCATCCGAAAGAAACGTTTCTACATTTTTTGTTGTTTTGTTTTTAGAATGTCCAGAGGACCAGATTGAACATTTTTAGATTTTTCTACCTGGATTATTGAGCATGCATCACAAAAGGTATTATTCTTTTACGCTTTTGTTCTTTATCAATACCAAGAGATGGCTGCAAGCAACTACCAATTATGCAACGCTCAAGGATACGGAGGAAGCTCTCCTGCAGTCCTTTCAGTGGTGAACAGTAACAAAATACATTTACTTGAGTACTGTACTTAAGTACATTTTCTGATTATTTTTACTTTACTTGACTATTTGTGTTTTTGGGAACTTTTCACTCCACTACATTTCCATGAAGCTTCTTGTTCCTTTAGACTCAGCTGTGTAATCCACGGTCGCTGGTTTTCTTTCCTTAAATGCAGTTGACCAGTTGTTGATTCAGGTATTCTGTGCAGAACATTCATTGTTTTATAAGCGTGCTGTTTCCTTTCCTCAACATATGCACTTTTACACACATACACAATGCAGTACATTTTCATTCATTCAACCTTTATTTAGACAGGTTAATCCCATTGAGCCCCGAGGACTCATTTACAAGAGAGACCTGATTTCAACAAAGAAAGATGACAACAATGGACAACAGCAACAACAATAGACAGTTATAAAAAGGCATACAGATTTTTATTTTTTTTACAAATTAAAATAAGATGGTAAAAAAAGTAGCAAAACAGGGAGATCACCCACAGCTGCTGCTCATTGGTGTCAACCAGGAACCCGGGGAAAGAGCTGAATCCCTACAAACAAGTGTGTTTTCTGGATCATACTGAATAATCAACCCAAACCAAGCAGACCTCTAGCTCCTTAAAGTTCTTCATGTGAAATGAACCTGACTCCACTTGTTTCAGAACAAAGTATTTCACTGTATCGACTCTGAGCTTCATTTATGAGGCAGCAGCTTCTGGCTCAGTCCACCTCCTTAAAGAACAGCTTCCTGTAAGAGTATGGAAACAGCGAGCCGCTGGTTGTAGCTGATGCATCTTCATTTTCCTTCGTGGTAACTTATCAAGTCTGAAGATTGCTGTATTTTTTTAAATGGCCAACATCAGCTGATTAAAATGAGTCATTTGTGTCTGTCGGGAATGTCTGTCTCTGAACCTACTTTCAGAAAGTATGTGGCAAAACAGACTCTTTTTTTTTTAATGACTGTGTTAGTATAAATCTTTGTGAGGGGAAAACCCTTGGCTTCACTTGAACTAGTATTTCTGTGCTAATTCAATTCATTTTCAGTTCAGTTTATTTATATAGCACCAAGTCACAACAGAAGTCGTCTCATGGCACCGAACAGAAACATTCACATACATAAAAAGTAAATTTGTAGAACTTATTCAATTAATTTAAATGCAAAACTACTTTATTAATCCCAGAGGGAATTTAAATGTTGTTGCATTTAACATGCAGCCACCTTGAGCGACACAATTCTGTTTTATTTAATTCTTTATCTAAGGACGCCAGCAGCTTGCGTTGAATCTTCATTTCATCGCAGTCTCCCAACCTGAGCGAGCACAAAGGCAACAGTGGAAAGGAAAAACTCATCCTAGCAGGAATAAACCTCCAGCAGAACCAGGCTCAGGACGAGGGGACATTTGCTCTGACCGACTGGGTTTGAGAGGAACAGGAAGGAGAAACAGACACACATATAGAATGGCAGGTCCAGAATGGAGGCGAGCAGGTCTTTCTATAGGAGGAAAGACAAAAACAACAACAACAACAACGTTAAGGTAGAAATAGTTAAATACAAACTTTTCATTTGTATTAAGTTGTAACTATTCATTTTATGAAATGTGATCAATTAGTCCTCCATCAATCTAAGCCTATAGCAGCATAACTAAGAGATAGCTCAGGAAGCCAAGCCAACCCTAACTATAGGATTTATCAAAAAGGAAAATCTTAAGCCCAGTCTTAAAACTGGACAACGTGTCAGCCTCACGGAGAGAAACTGGTGCCTGATAACTGAAAGATCTTCCTTCCATTCTGCTTTTGGAAACTCTAGGAACCACAAGTAAACCTGCAGTCTCAGAGCAAAGTGCTCTGTTAGGAAAATATGGAACAATAAGATCTTGAATATAAGATGGAGCTAGGTTGTTGAGAGCTTTGTTAATCAAAACGATATAAGCAAACCCATGACAACAGTGATGCTGGTCACA